AGGGACGGGGTGCAACGGCTCGTCCCACATCTGAACCCCACCCCCGCCCCTGGCACAGGTTACACGTATAGAAAGGGGAAATTACTTGGACAGGTTGGGGCTGTTTGCTCGAGCGCCGAGTCTCGACCGCCCAGATTTCAAGTAATTTCCCTCAGTTGTCCAAATACTGCATTTACAGTCGTGCAGTATTTGGATTCTCCCGAGCAAAGAATACCCAATTTTGTTTACTTGGATCATATCTGTTTTTTTTACTCGGATCAGTGAGGATCACTTGGACGGTTGAAGGGGCGATACTTGTATTTTCGATTTCTTGTGCAGAGGCGTACATGAAGTACATGAAGACTTGTGCAGAGGCGTACATGAAGTACATGAAGACTTGTGCAGAGGCGTACATGAAGACAATTCGTGAGGTCGCACGTGGGCGAGGAGTGCTCTACTAAAATTTCAGCCGCCCAGCTCTTGTGGTTTTTGAGTTGATAATGTGGGATAAAATGCACACACACATGCATACACACACATACACACACACACGCACACACGGATGTGTGACCTATGCGTTTTGTGCTGCACGCATAAAAACCCGTAGCTGTTTTTTAGTCAATAGGTGTGTCCTCTTCCGTTGCGACCGCCGAAACTTAAACCATCGGGGGCTGCACCGAAGTGGGTAACTGCGTTTGACTGCATCTGCATGCTCTCTGTTGAAATGCTGCGAATCTATTCGTGCAACTAGAAGTCGCGCATGTGCAGTAGCAGCAACCGCAGCAGTTCGGCGTAGCGGTAAAGCTGCGCGCTCGGCCATTTACATATGCATGTGCCCCAACCGCTGTGTTGCGTAACAGTCCTCGTGCAGTGCAATTATTAGAAAGAATTTTCATACTGACGAGGTCCAGTTGTGGTGCTGAAAAGGAATGTATATGATTTAATAAATCGAGAAATTCCATTTTAGTAGTTAACTTTTTTTATTTATGTTAGCCTTTTTCTGTAAATTCTTGCAAAATCCTGGTATTACTCTTACACTATTCAAAATTGTTTCCTGTTTCGCTCTCATTGAGAGCCGAAGGCACTCAGGAAGTAGTCTGAGTGGTAGCAAATGCCAGCAGCAGTTAAACTGGATGTATCGCGCGCCGTTGTAATCTTTGTACCATGAAATGCAAGAGGAAGCGTAGTAGAGTTGAATGTTCGCATATTGCAGAATGGATACTGAAAATGCCAGTGCGATGGGAGTACCTTCCGAGCTTATCCAAGCAGGCGAGCAAGCTGCAACGCCGAAAAAACCGGTCGAAACAGCACGCTCGAACGAAGACGCTACTGCCGAAGTTGCTGATGGAAACACGGAAGAGTTGGCTTTAGATGATTCTGTCATTGAAGAAAAGGCGAACGGAGTGAGCGGCTCAAACGAAACAGAGACAGAATTGGAAGCGGCGGAAGGTGGTGTTGAACAAGTTGCCGAATGGCCGACCGAGTGCAGTATGAGCACAGATGAGCCAGAAGAGACGCGGAGCAGCCAGCCAGAAGAGGCTCCAGCTGAGGTTACCCTTTTCCCATGTTTCGTTATTATGCGTAAGCTTGTGAAAAATTCAGTGCATGTGCTCAGCTATCAGCGCCAAACGTCAATTGTCCCTACACGAGACATGGGAGAACATGAAAGTATTGAAAAATGTTGCATTGCTGCTGACAGGGTGTAGCGACAAGAGGTAAGAGGAATAGAACAGTCGATTTTATTTATTTGATATTAGTGAAGAAGCCAAATTATACAACCTCATTTAAGCTAGCCGGTATGTGCATCGGGTAACGTCTGTGTTTCATCCCTGACTGCAAACACAGACGATTAAAATGTAGCGAAACGGGGTGGGAATCATCAGTGCAGTGCCCCATTTCGCTATGTTATTGGGGGACATATTGGATAGTTTAGAAAAGAAAAATGAAGTAATGCAGACGAATTGTTAGATTTTGTAAGAAAAGAAAGCAAACCAACA